GCTTTGGACATGTTTTTTTTTTTATGAGAGTATAACATTATAACATGATATAAAACCCAAAAAAGTTGTTTTTACATGATATTGCCCCTTTAAAAAACAAGTTTTTCTCCGACAGTTGGATGTGAAAAACTGCGGTTGTTAAAGCTTCTCTCTGTGCGACGTGCAGCGAGAGGAGAGGAAATGATCCCGCGACACGACGTAAMATGGATGAGGAAATTTTGAGGATTATAATTTTGTCTACACGTGTTTTAAAATGCTAGAATTTCTTTATTATATTTCGAACTCCTCCTGCTCAGTTGTCTCTGCACTCGCAGCCCTGTTGACACAGGTGCGATGATGTAATGATAATAGGACGGTAGAGGGTAAATTTCTACAATAGGCCAACTTCATACCGTTTCTGCTGTCTACCGCTTATACTGTGCAGCCCTACATCCATCCATCCATCCATCCATCCATCCATCCATCCATCCATCCATCCATCCATCCATCCATCCATCCATCCATCCATCCATCCCTCCATCCCTCTGAGACCTTTGGTGCTTCTTGACAGTGAATTGTGCAAAATTGAGGACAAACAAAGAAATCTAAAACCAAACACACACAGCACCTGTCATTGACGCCTGTGGGAGTGAAGTCCAGCTTGTGTTTGGTTTGAAAGAGGAGCAGTTTGGCTCTGATCTCCACAATGGACGGAGGCTGGACTGGTACTGCCACGGCAAACAAGGCCAGCTGAATCCTGTTAGCTGCCCCGTTGTCCCTCGATAGACTTTGGCCATGGAGATACTTTAGTCGCCCCTGGAACTTTAGAGCCTATTTAAGAACATTAGATACATCAAATCATGTTTTCCATTTTCTCCTTTTAAAATGGTGTTTTTACAAAGGGATTTTAGGCCCACCAGAAATCCAGAGGAGTTATCCAGGAGACARCGAAAGCGACAAACGAAGCTCCTCTCCAGGAAGGACGAGTTGTCTGGGGGAAGCTGCTCAGGGTTGTAGGTCACTGCATTACTACAGCTATGTGAAACTGAAATGGCAGGCAGAGATGAAAGATTCATTTATTATCAAAAAGAAAAAAAATTGTATAGGTCTTCTGGACGGGTTCTTCTCTAATGAAACGTTTCGTCTCTCCTCCAAGAGACTTCTTCAGTCTGAGAGCCTGAAACTCTCAGACTGAAGAAGTCTCTTGGAGGAGAGACGAAACGTTTCATTAGAGAAGAACCCGTCCAGAAGACCTATACAATTTTTTTTCTTTTTGATTTTTTACCTGGATTACTGAGATGCATCAGGACATTCATTTATTATAACTCCATCAAACCATAAAGGCAACACAACAGAAAGCTCAGCATTCAGTAGAAACTTTCTTTAATCAATAGGAGAACTGAAAAGGAACTCCTTTTGAGAAGAGAAGTTCTCTTCTGGCATCTCCTTCTCCTCACCCASTTTAAATGAACAAAAACGGTTGAGCTTCTAAAATTTCGATCCCAGGAGGACTAAATTTATCCATTCATGCCAGTTTAACTGCACTTACGGTCTGCATCCACTGCAACAGGCTGAGGGTTCAGAGCGAAGTGGAGCTGCTCTCTGAACAAGGCTCGGTCATCAGTGTGGATGAGCTCAAACACACTCTGGTGGATCACATCTGACTGCAGGCACACAAAACAGCAAAGCTAAACAAAGAGTGCAGTTCTGAAACAGTAATCTGCTAAGGCCGGCGTCACACTACAAGAAAATCAGGCCGATTTTTGCCTTTCCGACAATTTTAAGGAAGTCCAGATTATCCTGATGGCTCTAAAGATAATCATAGCAGATATTCCCACCGTTGGTGGTGAGTTAAGAGTGATCTAGTTGGCTCGGAAGGACGTCGGGACCGCTCCGACCTCAAATCGGGGATATTCAACATGTTTGATTTTTTAGCCCGATTTCACAATGTGTGTAGTGTTCACCCGAGCTCTCAGCCTGTTGACTGAGACGTGTAGCCAATCAGAAAGCGAGGTGAYGTAAACAAAAACTGTCATGACTCACCAGAAAGTCTGCTGGATGTTAAAAGTCCAATGGAATTGTTTTTCCTTTGGTAAAAATAGTCTTCAAGCGATCCACATTGTTTCTTCCTTGTTGCAAATGTTTATTTACTCTGACCTCACGTCTCTCTGGAGGTCATGTG